GACCCTAAATTGACGGCGACTCCACGCAATTTTTAATTTACTGCAGCGCGTAAATAAATGCATACTAAAACATTGAGGTTATGTATTACATCACGGATAGCCTATATTAAGCGATTCCTTAACTGCCATTCCTTCTTAGAGTAAATTTGACACTAGCTTCAAGTTTCAGTGAATATTATTCTGCTGCATTTAGGAAAATTGATCTCATTGTCAGACATTATGACTTTTACATTTTTAACCTGAACTATATGCATCTATTATTACTAGACTGCGGAAGTTTATGCAACTGTACATTTTGGCACAATTAGCTAAACAAATAAATCTTTGACTGAAATGTGTTTTATTATTGGAGGATATAAACAATATATTTTGCACATTGCATATTCCTTGCATATTTTGCGTAGAAGTTGCATATTATGTGCATATACGCAATTCTTTTTACAAATTAGCTCGAAAATTGTTAGAATTTGCTTGGGCTTGTCAGTAAAATGTGAAGTACTTTGATTTTGTTACGCCCTTATCTGTCACGTTCTCGTAACATTTATAAGAAAACAATATCAAGAATTTCGACAATTTTTGAAGGACAGCCGACGGAATTCCCAGATGATGTTGCAGAATGCCACTGTAGTAAATTTAAATATGCTCCAATTACATCGTGTAATGTTGAAAGGTCATTTTTCCGACGGAAGCCATCAATTTTCAATTGAGAATTTAGACAAAAATATTATAATTTATTGTCACTTAAATTATGCATGAAACCTAGTGCATAGAAGTATTATGTATAGTATAATATTAATGATCGTATACTTAAAAAGTCTGTAGAATCAATACACAGGTTAAAGGTTTAATATTTTAAAAATATATGAAGTTAATACATCGAAAAGTTAATAGAACTTGATATAGTTGATTTTATATTTGTATAACTTGTATAATATTATATTTTGCTTCCAATGTCAAAAAGTTAATATTTCACTAATACCCATAGTCTATATAACATAATTATTTTTTAGAATAGTTTGTGTAATATTGTATACATTTTTATGTACTTCATATCGTATACAATATGAAATAAATTTTTATCTACTTCACATTGTATACAATATTATATAAATATATATCTTTATGTACTTCACATTGCAAACAATATTATATACATTTTTATGTACTTCACATTGTATACAACATTACATATATTTTTATGTACTTTACATTGTACACAACATTATACACATTTTTATATACTTCGCATTGTATACAATATAAAATAAATTGATCAGACACAATATTTTACGAATTTTTTTAGTATCCACGTCAGTGCATATTTGCCAAATCTCTATGCCGCATATACTTCGTATACATAATTTATACCTCGCGTACAGTTCGCGCGTTCTAGCAGACGCATTCGCCGCATGTCGTGAGCGCATAAACTTCCGCGCTCTGGTCAATCACCGTGCAATTGTTCAAACTTATTGTACCGGCATAAATAACCAGGAAAACGAAAACATTGCCGCACCGGAAACGATCCAACGAATTCGATCGTAAACTCACCGATCTTCAGCTCCTTCTCCATGCCGGCGAGATCCAGCTTGCGTACGGACCGCTTGACTTTCGACATCACCGGTTCCCCCTTGCAGTTGTTGATCATCACGTTTCTGGCCATTTTCATGCACTTGAAGGCCTGCCGCGACTCTTGCACTTCACCGGGAACAGCAGCCGCGAGACTTCCGAGCAGCGCGACGACGAAAAGCGCGACGCGGATTATTTGCTGGACCCGATGCATCGTCGACCCGCTACTTCACAATGAAAAGGAGGTTAATTGCTATTTACACGATGTGCCACCCGAGATCGCCGATCGGCTCTGGTCCTTGGGGATAACTCGAGCCGCGGACCAGTCCTTCGCACTTTTTAATCCCGTCGTTATCCACCTGGACGTGTCGCGGACGCGTTTCTGCAATCGCGCCTGTTTACGCGGCCGCCACGTTCCGTCGCGGGGATCGCTTATCGACGCGATACCGTCATCAAGGAAATGCTGCGAGGCCAGAATTCGCGGACAGGTGAAAACGAACGTTCGTCGATCCCGCCGACGCGCACCTGGTCACGTATCGGGATGAGGAATTCGATTCTCTGTGGGCGAAAGACGAACATTTGGCTGGTATGCACAGATTGCTGCTGGAGGCGTTCTCGCCACGGATTAGTTACCTAATCTCTGTGGAAGCTTTTCTGCGTCATTCTATTGAATTCGGAACGTCAATTACATTCAATCCGTACGGTGATATTGTTTTCGTATCTGCGAAGAATTCTCGTAAAGACTCATTAAGACTTTGCGTTTCGGGATTAATGGGTTGTGCTCGGTCGGGAGTTAAGGAGAATGGTGTTCTCTGGGAATTTTTTTCTTAAAAGTCTTAAAACCATTCTCAGGCAATGTTTCTCTATTTGAAAGGTCAGGACTTGTATTACTGATTGTATATTCTTTTTTATTTAAAAATGTGCGGAAATATATAAGTTATGGTAGTTCTTCTGAGGGCTTTCCAAAAGAACATGCTCTGCGGTGGTCAGCTTTGCTCGGTCCACGGTTATCTGAAATCATGAACTATGATTTCTTGTTATTTTTTTATTTGATATTTTCTTAGTTGATAGTCTAAACTCGTCCTTGAACGAAGGATTTTTCGATATTTTGATTTTTTACAAAATGGCAGGCGTTCGAAATGAGCATTTTGATTTTTGATGAAAAATAGCTAGGTTTTTAGGATACATTTAGGTTATCTGAAATCATGAACTATGATTTTTTGTTATTTTTCTGTTTGATATTTTTTTAGTTGATAGTCTAAACTCGTCCTTGAACGAAGGATTTTTCGATATTTTGATTTTTTACAAAATGGCAGGCGTTCGAAATGAGCATTTTGATTTTTGATGAAAAATAGCTAGATTTTTGGGATACAAAAACTAAGATGTTCATTAGAAAAAGAAATCGTTTGTTCGAGGACAAGTTTTTGGAGGAGGAAAAGTTTCAACTTATGTTTGCTCTTAAATGTTTATTTTTTGTTTACATGTGGAATCATCAATTCCAGACCCATATTGACCATCTTCTGCTGAAGTGGCCTCCGAAACATTTATTTGCTGTTGACGGCGAAACATTTTACCCTCGTTCGTTGTTTCTTGCGTGCGACGTTTCCGCTGTCACTTTATCACGAGAAGCTTAGTTCAGCCGAAACAAATTGTAGTAAATTCTCTCCAATTAGTCATCAACTCGTAAACAAGAATGGACAATTTGGGAAGAGGAGATTCGATTATTCGGTCCTTGCGCCTCGTTTTTATAGTTATTGACAGTCGGCAACTATAAAAACGAGCCGCGAGGAGTCGAATAATCGTGTCTCCGCTTCCCAAATTGTCCATTTTTGTTTCCAAGCTGAGGGACAATTGGACAGAATTTATTGTAGATCACTCGGTACAGCAAACTCTGCCTAATTTTCCTTTAGCTTGAAAACAAAAATAGACAATTTGGAAAAAGTAGATACGATTATTCGAGTCTTGCACCTCGTTTTTATAATTCTTGACAATCGGCAATTATAAAAACGAGCCGCGAGGCTCGAACAATCGTATCTTCTCTTCCCAAATTGTCCATTTTCGTTTCCAAGCTGCGGTTCAATTTGGGTGGATTTACTGTATTTTCAAAGAAACGTGCGCGTACAAACAATTTAACTTAGCGCAACTGCATGCGAGGAGTTATCGCAAAATAAAACTAAAACATTTCTGTCTTTATTTAATGTACAGTTCATACAGGGTGTTTCATGAAACACCTTCCACGATTTTTCAAGTAATCGCAATAAATTGACATGAAACTGTTTTAAGCAAAATTTGTGATCAGTTTTCAATCGACTATACAGTGCAACAAAAAAATTTCAAATATTTTTTTTTCGACAATTTTCAATGACCTAGTATAGCATGACCTTCTGATGACGTTGAATGCAAACATATCAATATAATTTTCTTTTATAAAATTGATGTTATTTTTATTATAATTTAAATACAGGGTGGTTCACTTAAATAAGGCGGACCCCTCTAATTGTGGGTGTACAAAAAATATTTTGTATGCTACTTGAATTTTTTTTTATTGCATCGTGCAGTTAATGTAAAAATATATTCAAACATGCATAATGAGTTGAACTTCAAATGACCTTTCGAGTCTCACGATGCAATAAAAAAAAAAAATACATGCACTTATATGCAAATCAATATCGATGACCTCGAAATCTTCGGAATAGATGACCTTGAAAGAAAACTAGTTCGTGCTTCGTATTCGTCTCTTGATATCAATCAAATTCCATATAGAATAGAATTTTTCCATATAGAAACATTTTTAACATTTTTAATGTACAGAAAAGAAATTATATATGTATAATAACAGTGCATAAATTTATACAAAAAGAAAACATAACATTTAACATTTTTAATGTACAGAAAAGAAATGAAATTTGTATAATAACAGTGCATAAATTTATACAAAAAAGAAAACATAAATGAAATATTATGAACAACGTATACTACCACGGTTATGTTTAAACAATTGCAAATTTTTGTGATGTAATATGGATTTCACTCTGTTCAAGATCCTTCCTGTTGTTGTACCGTTGTTGCACAAACAAACTGAAATTGGTTGTATTTCGGCACGCCTGACTTCAAGAATCGTCGAAAACCGTACTTCCGTTTCTTTGGAAAAATGTAAGGAATTTTTATAATGCTATTTGTACTAAAACCATGAATTTATTATTGTTACTGTTTTACACTTAACTATTACTGTTAGTTTTTCAAAGAAATATGTCATCCGACTATGTTTCAGGCACGAAAAAATATGAAAATATAGAAATATAAATATAAAAATATAAAAATATAAAAATATAGAAATATAAATATAAAAATATAAAAATATAAAAATATAGAAATATAAATATAAAGATATAAAAATATGAAATATAAATATAAAAATATAAAAACATAGAAATATAAATATAAAAATATAAAAATATAGAAATATAAACATAAAAATATAAAAGTAAAGAAATATAAATATAAAAATATAAAAATATAAATATAAATATATAAAAATATAGAAATATAGAAATATGAATACAAAAATATAAAAATATAGAAATATACATATAAAAATATAAAAATATAAAATATAGAAATATAAAAATATAAGAATATAGAAAATATAGCGCAGAATGTAAATCTCAGAAATAACTCTACAATAAATGCCTGAATGTTGTACAGGGTGTCCCAGTATCGGCGATACAACCGATGAAGGGGTGATCCTAGACAAGAGATCAAACCGCAAATAAAGAAGAAAATATTTTCATTTGAGACTTATCCGAACATTTATTTTTACAATTTTTCGCTATCCAAACGTTATATTATTTAATCATTGTAATTACAGTAGGGACTCCCTTATCCGAAGATTTATTTTTACAATATTCTAGTATCCAAACATTCAATATTATCTAATCATTGTATATTATTTAGATACATTATCACACCTAGTAGAGAATTCGTATGAAATATTTAGATAACAGAATGTTTTGGTATCAGGATATCACAACAATAAACCTTCGAATAAGGGAGTCTCTACTGTATTTAGATACATCACCACCTATTAGAGATCTTGAATGAAATTGTTAGACAATTAAATGTTTCGGTGTCAGGATATTACAAAAATAAACCTTCGGATAAGTGAGTCTCCATTGTATTTAGATACATCACTACCTAGCAGAGATCTTGAATGAAATTGTTAGACAATTAAATGTTTCCGTGTCAGGATATTACAAAAATAAACCTTCGGATAAGTGAGTCTCCATTGTATTTAGATACATCACCTCCTAGCAGAGATCTTGAATGAAATTGTTAGACAATTAAATGTTTTGGTGTCAGGATATTACAAAAATAAACCCCGGGATAAGGAAGTCTCTACTGTACTTGCGATCAACTGGAAAATGATATAACGTTTATTTAAAAAGCGATCGTTCGATCTGTTTCGATGGTAATAATTAATTATATTAATATATATTAATGTATATTAATTAATTATATTAATTATTAATTATATTAATAATAATTAATTATATGCAAACTATCGGTTGGTTGAGTGTTACATATTGATGACAAGAGAATAGAATTTTTTATCCCGGCCAAGGTAAACGGTATAATATTCATACTTAACGGGTTATAAACATAAATATCCACAACGGGCCAGGCTCGTCAAAGTACGGCAACGGGTTATTTAGGCTGAGTTCGGCACGATACAGAATCAAAGAAAGACGTTCGTAATTAACAAATACTCATCGGCGGTTATATTAGCATTTAGATTAGTTCCTCTCATATTTGATGAGCTGTGCTAAAAACACCGGGCTCAATCGTCTTTCCTTTAATGTAAACACTGTAAGCCGACCCACTGATTTTTTCAATCGTCCGCTGCACTCTTTCGAACCGGCTTTAAGGCGTATTACTTGCAATAAGTTGGCAACGTTATTATTAGACTGCGGCTTTTTGGGCAAAATAGAAATTTTTCAGATTCTTAGAGACAGAAATTCAATAAAAATGAATTATTTCTTTTAATAATTTTGATAAGTTGGAAGCGGAATAATCAAATTATGAAATTCTTCTGAATTTTATAAATTAATAATTTTATATTTCAGTCAGTCGTTTTTGCCATAAATGCATAAAATCCGCGGTCCAGTTATTATAGACTGTACAGGTTTAAACGTAGTAATTTTAGAAATCGCAGTTATCTTAGTAATTTTGATTTAAATTGCACCTATCTATTCTAATTTTCTGCACAGCAATTTCCTCCTAATTCGCGCTCAAAATGGTTAATTTGGGAAGAGGAGACACGATTATTCGATACGATTATTATTGCGGCTCGTTTTTATAATTGTTGACCATCGGTGACTATGAAAACGAGCCTCAATGCTCGAATAATCGTATCTCCTCTTCCCAAATTCTTCATTTTTGTGCGCAATCTGAGCGCGAATTAGAGAGAAAT